AACACCTGACCCACATAGGAGCCGTAATAGACCGGATTAGGGAGTCCGGACTGACCCTAAAGCCCAGTAAGTGCCATATAGGAACGTGTAAAATCCTCCCCAAGATAGTAGTATGGGCCCCAGAATGTGAACAGGCCTTCCAACAGCTCAAGACGGCGCTCATTAAATCACCTGTACTTTCTTCTCCTGATCCAACTAAACACTTTCTCGTCCATACAGACGCTTCTATGCTTGGATTGGGAGCAGTATTGAGCTAAGTCGGAGCAGATGGTGGCTAGCAACCCGGGGCTTATCTAAGCCGTAAACTTTTGCACAGCGAAGTATATTCACTGCCATTAAAAAGGAGTGCATAGCGGTGGTGTGGGCCCTCAAAAAGCTGCAACCTACTTGTATGGACAACCGTTTACCTTACTCACAGATCACAAAAAATTTGGGGCACTGCGCGTGCAATCTAATGTGCCACCAGATAGGAGTGGTGTGTTTAGTACTATTGTTATCAGTTTAATCACTGTTATGTCCCCTATCCGTTGATGTGGAGCAAGACGCAGCAGCAGAAGAGGACTCAGCCGAGGAGGTTATGGAAGAGGATGGAGTAGGAGGAGTAGAGGAGGTGGCAGCAGGCCTGCCTGCAAGTCGTGGCGGTGTCACCAACTCCTCTGCAGAGCCACTCATTCCATGCTTGGCAGCCGTCAGCAGGTTTGCCCAATGCGCAGTGTAGGTGATATACCTGCCCTGACCATGCTTTGCAGACCAGGTATCAGTGGTCAGATGGACCCTTGCCCCAACACTGTGTGCCAGACATGCTATTATTTCCTTTTGCACAATCGAGTACAGGTTGGGGATTGCCTTTTGTGAAAATAAATTTCGTCCGGGTACCAGTGAGTGAGAGGTGGCACTGGGCACAGTATCCACTGTGAGCCTGACACACCTGCTGGCAGACAACTAACTGCTATTCAATCTATAACAGTGAAAAAAGTTTTTTGTTTTTAAATCCAAGCTATTATGACACCAGATATGAGTGGCACTGTAAACTGGCAGAGTACATGCTGTAGGGCTGACACACCCGCTTTAAGGACACTGACTGCTATTCAATCTATAACAGTGAAAAAAGTTTTTGCTTTTTAAATGCAAGCTATTGTGACACCAGTGAGTGAGTGAGAATTGGCACAGTATCCACTTCGTATTTGACACACCATTGAGACAAATCTGAACCTGCTATTCAATCTATAATATTGATAAGCTGTTTCACAGGCAAGAAAGTGTCCAAAACATGGCTGTTTGAACCTCAGTTGGTATGATAAGTCACGCAAGTCAACGGCAGATTCAGAGCTAAATACAGCAGCGTGTGGACCATTTTTAGCCCAAGGCAGCTCATCTCATCAGGCCTTTTTAAATCTAATGTATCGCCCAGTGTCAGTCCCTTTGGGATCCATCCCTCATTCATCTTAATAAAGGTGAGGTAATCTAGACTTTTTTGACCTAGGCGACTTCTCTTCTCAGTGACAATACCTCCTGCTGCACTGAAGGTCCTTTCTGACAGGACACTTGAAGCGGGGCAGGCCAGAAGTTCTATCGCAAATTGGGATAGCTCAGGCCACAGGTCAAGCCTGCACACCCAGTAGTCAAGGGGTTCATCGCTCCTCAGAGTGTCGATATCTGCAGTTAAGGCGAGGTAGTCTGCTACCTGTGGGTCGAGTCGCTCTCTGAGGGTGGATCCCGAAGGGCTGTGGCGATGCGTAGGACTTAAAAAGGTCCGCATGTCCTCCATCAACAACACGTCTCTAAAGCGTCCTGTCCTTGCCGGCGTGGTCATGGGAGGAGGAGGATGACTTCCACCTCTCCCCCTGTTAGATTCCCGTTGTGCTGTGACATCACCCTTATACGCTGTGTAAAGCATACTTTTCAATTTATTTTGCAAATGCTGCATCCTTTCATACTTGTTGTAATTCGGTAACATTTCCGCCACTTTCTGCTTATACCGGGGGTCTAGTAGCGTGGACACCCAGTACAGGTCGTTCTCCTTCAGCCTTTTTATACGAGGGTCCCTCAACAGGCACGACAGCATGAAAGACCCCATTTGCACAAGGTTGGATGCCGAGCTACTCATTTCCCGTTCCTCCTCCTCACTGATGTCAATGAAGGTATTTTCTTCCCCCCAGCCACGTACAACACCACAGGTACCAGATAGGTGACAACGAGCACCCTGGGATGCCTGTTGTGGTTGGTCTTGCTCCTCCTCTTCCTCCTCCTCAAAGCCACATTCCTCCTCTGACTCCTCTTCCTCACAATCCTCTTCCAGCGTTGCCGCAGGTCCAGCAAGCGATGCTGATAAGGCTGTTTCTGGAGGTGATGGTGACCACAACTCTTCCTCTTCCTCTTCACGCTCATCTACGGCCTGATCCAGCACTCTTCGCAGGGCACGCTCCAGGAAGAAAACAAATGGTATGATGTCGCTGATGGTGCCTTCGGTGCGACTGACTAAATTTGTCACCTCCTCAAAAGGACGCATGAGCCTACAGGCATTGCGCATGAGCGTCCAGTAACGTGGCAAAAAAATTCCCAGCTCCCCAGAGGCTGTCCTAGCACCCCGGTCATACAAATATTCATTAACGGCTTTTTCTTGTTGGAGCAGGCGGTCGAACATTAGGAGTGTTGAATTCCAACGTGTCGGGCTGTCGCAAATCAAGCGCCTCACTGGCATGTTGTTTCGCCGCTGGATATCGGCAAAGTGAGCCATGGCCGTGTAGGAACGCCTGAAATGGCCACACACCTTCCTGGCCTGCTTCAGGACGTCCTGTAAGCCTGTGTACTTATGCACAAAGCGTTGTACGATCAGATTACACACATGTGCCATGCACGGCACATGTGACAACTTGCCCAACTTCAATGCCGCTAACAAATTTGTTCCGTTGTCACAAACCACTTTGCCGATATCCAGTCGCTGCGGAGTCAGCCACTTTTCCACCTGTGCGTTCAGGGCGGACAGGAGTGCTTGTCCGGTGTGACTCTCTGCTTTCAAGCAAGTCAAACCCAAGACGGCGTGACACTGCCGTATCCGGGATGTGGAATAGTACCTGGGGAGCTGGGGGGGTGCCGTTGATGTGGAGCAAGACGCAGCAGCAGAAGAGGACTCAGCCGAGGAGGTTATGGAAGAGGATGGAGTAGGAGGAGTAGAGGAGGTGGCAGCAGGACTGCCTGCAAGTCGTGGCGGTGTCACCAACTCCTCTGCAGAGCCATGCATTCCATGCTTGGCAGCAGTCAGCAGGTTTACCCAATGCGCAGTGTAGGTGATATACCTGCCCTGACCATGCTTTGCAGACCAGGTATCAGTGGTCAAATGGACCCTTGCCCCAACACTGTGTGCCAGAGATGCTATTACTTCCTTTTGCACAATTGAGTACAGGTTGGGGATTGCCTTTTGCGAAAAGTAATTTCGGCCGGGTACCTTCCACTGCGGTGTCCCAATAGCTACAAATTTTTTGAACGCCTCAGACTCCACCAGCTTGTATGGTAAAAGCTGGCGGGCTAATAGTTCGGACAAGCCAGCGGTCAGACGCTGGGCAAGGGGGTGACTTTCTGACATTGTCTTCTTACGCTCAAACATGTCCTTGACAGACACATGACTGTGGGAAGATGAGCGTGAACTGCTCAAGGCGGGAGGCGGAGTGGCGGATGGTTGAGAGGGGACAAAGAGGACAGCAGTGGTTGACGTGGCTGAAGATGCTGGACCAGGAGGAGGCTGGCGGCTTAGAGTAGGCGAGCTGCTTGTACTCATGTGTTGATCCCATAGGCGTTTGTGATGTGAGATCATGTGCCTACGCAAAGCAGTTGTACCTAGGTGGGTGTTAGACTTCCCACGACTCAGTTTCTTTTGGCACAGGTTGCAAATGTGAATAGAGAAACAGATGGAAACTGCGCCCTTTATACAATACAAATGTACATACTCGAGTCCTTATGGTCGTAGTCTTCAATAAGCCTCAAAGAGAATTTTTTTTTAAAATAATAGTGTAGTATTGTCAGTGCTTAAAAATATAAAAAAGGAAAAAGATAAGTGCAAACTCACATTTACCAGAGCTTTTACAGAGCTCTACTGTTGTTGCGCCTAGACGGAATGATCCCCGTCTCTGGATTAGTTTGAAGTGATCGGCCTTTTAGCGTCCTCAAACAGATAACACATATAGAGACATAGAAATCCTTATAGTGTAGTATATTACAGTATTTTGAAGGAAAATTGAATAGAATGAAAGGTAGCGTACTCACATGTACCAGATCGTCCCTCGCTCTAGA